ACAGAGTGGGCCATGTAGAACCCAGCCATTGGCTGGCTCTTGGATAGTGCTTTCTACAATCTCATAACATGTGTTTTGTCCACTTTACAAATGAGGAAACTGTGATATTCAGTAAGAAGATACTTTGTTCTGCAAACTAAAGAAATCTAGTGAGGGCAGTGAAAAAAAACAAGTTTTGCTTTTAGAAGGACAATGTTGGTGTCCTTGTAAAAAATATATGTAGAAAGAGAAATTAGCCAAGAGAAATTAAGAAATCACTTGCTTGATTCTGGTGAAAGGTAACAAGGCTATGACAAGGAAGGTTAGAGATGACTATGCAAATTTGATTATCATACCAGAGGTAGAATCAACTGAACAAAACTGCATGTGATTCAGTGTAATGGAGCAGAGGAAAGGAAAACTGGTATATCTTCCTTGGATATATTGAGTTATTTATAGGGCAACCAGATTGAGATGTCCAGGAGATACTCGGAGGTATGGGCCTGAAGATCAAGAAAGAAGTCTTGACTAGAGTTTAGGGTTTTGCAGATAGAGTATTAAAGGTAGTAGTCGAATGCAACACTGGAGTGTCAAATGGAGAAGGAAAGAGGCCAGAGAGCAAAATCACAAGGGGCACCAACATTTCAGGGGTAGTTGGAAGAATTTGGTGTGACTAGCATAATGTTTTCAGTACATATAGGAGAGTAAAATAGAAGCAAGATAAAAAGAATTTTGAGGAATAGGTAGTGTCTGGCAATATTTGAGATGCTGGAAACATTATGTAAAGCATGAGGTCTGAAAAGAAGTCATCAGGTTAAATAGTAAGGCTATTTTTAATCTGAGAGAAAACGTTTTCTATGATGTGAGCAGGATAAACCACCAAATATGCTGTATTGAAGTGTTAATGAAGTGAGGACAGAAACTGTGGAACTAATTCTTTTTTAGAAATTGACTAATGAAGTTATTTTTGCTTGACGAAGACTGTACCAAAAGAAAGAATTAAGTTTTAAGGGTACCCCAGAGCTAAAGGTGAAGTGAGAAAAATATTGGATTATTGGAAAAGTCATGCCACATTTTTACATAGAAAAACAGAAAAAAAAAAATCTGTGGAAAACAAAGCTTAATACCAAAATGGAAAACAAAACTTAGGACCAAATATAGATGACCTTGAAACATTTTTTCCCCTAATATTATTACCTAGTAAAACTTATGGCATATAGTAGGTACTCAGAAAATATGTTGAAATATGCACCCTTCATTTTATCAATTCAATTTTTTTCCTATATAATTGACTTTTGTTAAGGTCTTTCTATATCTAGAATTTTGCTTTTATGTTTTTTTTTCTTTTGAGCGTAAAATTCAATTCAGCAATTTTGCAATTATACAAGCAGTTATTTCAAGCATGTGCTCACAAAGCACTTTACAATAGCTTTAGATCACTGTTTGCGAACTTTGCACCTGGTCATTGCTTAAGGAAGCATTTTATAAAGTTTTAAGTGTAATTAGAAGGGATAGGATTTTTTCTTTTCTTTTCTTTTCTTTTCTTTTCTTTTTCTTTTTCTTTCTACATTTTGGCTCTGCATTTTACTTTTAATCATAATATACCATCATTGAGCATGAGGAGAGCTTGGGGAATTTGTTTATATAATGGAGTTCTCTCTCCCAAACATAACTCCTCCCTTCCCCACTATTCTGATTTCTATGTAGTCACTTCCTTGCTTTTCTGGATTCTTTGATTTCCCAGGTGTACATCCTTAAATATTATAATTTAGTTTTGCCTTATTTGAAGGTATTTTTTTTGAAGTATCTCATAATCTTTAGGTTGTTCCAAACATTTCTCTCTCTCTCTATCTTTAGTTATCTTTTGAAAAAAAATCAAGATCATTCATTGCATAGCATTTTTCTGCCATCTGAAATTTTGCTGATTATATTTATGAGATGTAGTTGAATATGTTCTCCCATCCTCTGTGTTTTCTATAAACTGGGAATTAGATCTAGAGCCTTAATCAGTTGCACAATCTCTTCTTTCTCACACTTTTTTTGGAGGTCAAGATTACTTCCTAGGTGGTAGGTGGGGTATTCTTCAGCAAGAGACATACATACATAATTATATTTTTGGGATGATTGTAACAGTTGATGCAAAATGCCTAGATCCATGATTATCTGAAGTTTGCAACATCATTGTGTGTGGGTATTTTTTGGGAGGAGTGGGTAGGTGGGGAGGAGTTGGCCATAGGACCTGTCATCTTGCCGGGGAGAAATAGAGAGAGGGAAAGTGAGACATCACCAGCCAAAAGGGATGGCCACGTTGCAATCCCTTCTGCTCTCAGGGTCTTGGGTACACACACACACACACACACACACACACACCCGCACCTGGCATGGTTTTCAAGCTGCTGAGTCTGTGGTTGACCAGGTGGAAGTCCAGACCTTAACCACCATGCCAGCTACTGGCCCTTGGCACAGCATTGTATTGTAGTTCTGTTTTTTTTTTTTTTTTTTTTAACTTTGCTAGAATTCTTTCATAAAAGAAAGTTTTCTTTACTCTTTGGTTGGTTAGTAGGACAAGCAAGGCATGTGGTTGATATGTTTCCTTTATTTACCAGTATTCAGTATGCAAGTTGGCTCTGTGTGATCTCCATACGTGGGCTATGCATCTACATGTATATCTACATCTAAATTTTTTAGCACATTGGTATCACTATCATCTGTAGTTAGAGAGTTAGTGGTTGGGGGCCTGATGATCAAACTGTAGAAAGAAAAGGCGTTTAGTGCCCTTGCTTAACTGAACTCCCAGCAAAAAACTGGGAGACCGACCATTAAATGAAGCATTTTCTTGCCAGCTGAGTCAGAGGTCCTGCGATTTTTGGCTACAGGCTCCAGGAGTGATGGAGTCCAAAACATTTCATTCTTGTTGCCAAACTAAGTGAGGAAAAACTTTTCCTTTACCAAATTAGATTCATCAAAACACTGCAAGGAGAAAGTAGATTTAATCATGCACGAACAGGCATTCTCAGAAAATAAGTGTGTACCAAAGGGGCAGATGGCATATACATTTGGAATTTATATACCATCTCAATAGAGGAAGGGGAGGGGGAAAAATCTGCTTAAAGGAAAACAAAAATTTGACTTTTTGAGAAGATAAATGAGCCTTTAGGAGACTATATGGGAGCAGTGATATTTTTGTGACTGTGTCTGTGTAGGTGTGGCATGGAGCTGTCTCATTTCTGGTGGTAAGAGTCAGTCTTCCCTGGTTGCTTCTGAGGATGGGATTTATGACATTTGAGTTATTTTGAATACTTTGAGAAACTCTGCATTTAATTGGAAAAGAGATTTCAGGAACTTGAATGCCTTCTGCTCAAAATAATCTTTATGCCACATTGGTGTATTCTGGACCCCTTCTCTCTTTCTCTCTGTGTATGTGTTTCTTTTAAGCTATAACACCTAACGAATGTATACTCATATTTCAAATTCTGTTAAAATTTAGAATTACAAGATAACTTATGTTGATTCTCTGTTTTACATCTGTATCTTTATGTAGTCCCTGCAGGTTCTTATGAAGGCTAGAGAAGATAGTTGAGGCCACTCAAATTCCCATTACACATAAGACATTCTTTTTTTAAAAATAAATATTTTATTTAACTTTATTTATTTATCTCTTTATTTATTTAATTTGAGCAAAGAGGGACAAAGTGAAAGACAGAGAGAGAGGGAGAGGGAAAGTGAGAAAGCCAGTTGCCAGGTTTGAGACTCGAACTGCAGTTGGCCATTTGGGAGTCCAGCACCCTTAACCACCACGTTACCTGCCTGCCCCGACATAAGACATTCTTATAAGGATTCTAATAAAGATCAATAGCACGACTGTGCAAAAGAGTTAAAAACCATCCCTCCACTCTCATTCCCTTAGTATGTTTAACATTTGCTGTTTTTACATTGTCAAAGCATGTGGCATAGGTTTTATTATTTTTTCATTTTTTAAAATTTTTATTTATTTATTTCTTCCAAGACCATGAAAAAGAGAAGCACTCTCCACAGGGTATTGACACCATGATCCACCCCTACTCAGATCATGGGCAAGTGTGTGCCTGTTATACTGAGGGAGATCTCTGGACTTGAACTGGGAACCTTCCCATGTGAGTTTGCCTTGGACAACATGATGTTTTACCGCTACACCATGATCTGGCCTCAGTACACTCTCCCTCATATCCCATTTAGCAGTAGATATTTTAAGGAGATAATATTACAGATTTTGTCATTCTGGTAAAGTTGTACCAAATATTTTTTTTAGGTGTGCCTGTGATAAACCTTAAGAAAGGGAACAAAATCTCTGTTTACAGAATAATTTTTCAAACAAATTTTATTACTTTAAGGAACTATTGATAGAACACTGTTGCATGGAATTTTTAAAAAATTAGTTAAAGAGCCTATTTGTTCCAATATGGGGCCAAGAGGCAGCTCAGGAAAGGAAAGTGACTGACCCTTGCCTTTGTCTCTGGATCAGCTTTGATCCTTTTTTCTCACAAAGTGCTGGGAGGACTTTGTTCCACATTCCATTGTTGGACCTTGACAGAGGAGAATACAATTGTCTTTGCCTCTCCCCCACTAGCAATTTCATCACTAAACACTTATCACAAAAAGGAAGATTGAGAAATGCCAACACACACATGGATAGCGTTTGTCAGAAACTATTGTCCTTCTTCCATGTCAATCCAACTCCCAAGGAGAATTATTTACTCACCATTGTCTGAGTGTTGGACCTATTCTTTTCTCCTCCCTATTTGCTCCTTTTGCCTTTAAAACCACCCTTAACATGTAAGATGTCAGCCTGCATTATCCAGAGCTGAAGCCGTGTGTCCCAGCAAGTGTCCTCCTTTCTGATCTGAATAAAAACTCTCCATTTCACTAATTAAGCCTTCGTCTTTCCTTTAGGTCATCAGTTGTTAATGAAGTAAAATGCTTTATAGGTTGGATTGCCCTTCTAATGTAACTTACAACATTTTATTTTCTTTTGTGGTTCATAGAACATTCCAGTATGCCAGTAGAAAAAAATATCACTTTAGAAAAGCCTTCTAATATAGAACTTGTGTGCCAGTTTACAAAATCTGGGGATCTAAATTCAGTAAATGTGACTTGGAGAAAAGATGATGAACTACTTGAGAATAACTACCTTGTCAATGCAACAGGAAACATCCTATACACCCAATACAAGTGAGTATACAATCTGTTCATCTGTATTGTAAACCCAGATTAGTGAGATGAAATTTTTTTTAAGAATTACTGTATTTAACTTTATTTATTTATTTATTTATTTAAATTTGACCAGATAGAGACAGCACAAGAGAGAGAGAGAGAGAGAGAGAGAGAGAGAGAGAGAGAAAAGAGAAAGTGAGAAAGCAAGCTGCTAGGTCTGGGACTCAAACCACAGTCGACCAGTGACCTTAACCACCTGCCGGCCTCAAGTCTGAAATATTTTTGCTAATGGAGCATTTTTCCTCTACAGTCACTTCCACATTATGCTAATCTTCTAATTTGCATATTTACAGAATTATTGCTATTTTAAAATGTTGTTTAATGGCTAAGTCTTTTCATTTTCATTAATGGGTTGTAATATTTTTTTTGAGAACTAAGCCTATATTACTAACTTGAATTATCTTTAGGTTCACCATCATTGATAACAAGCAGCTGGGAAGTTATTCTTGTGTCTTTGAAGAAGGAAAGGAACAAAGGGGAACATTTAATTTCAAAGGTCAGTATTAATAACTTGAATATTAGTAAGATTAACAACTTGAGCATTAATGTTTCCTCTAATTTTACAATTATTTCTACAATAATAAATATAATGCATCTGAGGGAAAATCATGCTTTGTGCTGATTTTAGAGGTGACCTTGAAAATGGTCTTGAATAAAGCCAAAAAGATAAATAAATAAGTGACCTTGCATTCTCCAATTGATTCCCTTTCTCCTTCTACTTCCCTGCTTAAAGCACAGGTTTTTATTCAAATGGCCAGCCTCACAGATTATTAGTTAATCACACTGACTTTACTGTTGAATTTACTGACTTATTTAGCCCTCTAAATTTAGAAATTTTATATTTTCCTTCAGATTTGTAAGTTATTGCATTCTTTCCCTGGGAGAATATAGTTTGGTGTTGTATATCACTGGGTCCAGGACTTGGGATTTTAGGGTTGCGTAAAATTTAGAAATAACATGGAGAGCCACAAAGAATGGCCTGCATTTTGTATCATCAAGTAAGGGCATTAAAAAATACATACACAGAAGCCCTAGAATTAATTCAACTCTTTCCCGTGAAAGAATTATCATCTAAAACTTCAGAAAGTCTCAATGTCATAAAAAGACTGAAATGTATTAGAAGACTTTTCTAAAGTGTTATTTTTTTTTTCTACTGGCATACTGGAATGTTCTATGAACCACAAAAGAAAACAAAATGTTGTAAGTTACATTAGAAGGGCATTCCAACCTATAAAGCATTTTATTTTTGCCATATTAACTCTCTTTTGCCATATTAACTCCTTTTAGGCTTTGCTTTGTGAGAATTTTCCAGGGAACCTGAAAATTATTTTCCACTTTGCCTAAAATTTCTGAAGCCTCACTGGCTTCTTTGACAGAATGTAGATGTTACCCCAAGGTTCCATTGGGAGCGGAGTGGTCTGCTCCGTCAGAGCTGTGAGATGGGATGGCTTCCTCCTGTGGCCCTTGCTGTGGCTCTGCACCCACAGGCATGTTTTCTTTATGGCGCTTTGTCACTGTTCTGATGTGGTCAATATAACAAGTCCTGTATTTGTACATTTTGGTCTCTCCATAGGCAGAAACTAGTATTAGTCTTTGATTATTTTGATCATGTGTATTTTTTCTTAACTTTCTTTTCTCTGTTTTGCCTGATCTAACTTAATGAAGGAAAGGAGACACTGTATATATGCCTTTTCTGTTTCCTTTTCCTTCCCTGCTCCTTTCCTTTCTTTTCTTTTCCCTGCCCTGCCCTCCCTCACCCCTCTCCCCTTATGCTTCCTTTCCTTTTGTTTTACTCTCCTTTTCTTCCCTTGTCTTTGTCCTTCACTGTCTTTTTATTCCTTCTTGCCTCCCTTCCTCCTCTTTCTCTCTTTTCTCTTTTTCTTTCTAATGAACAGAAAGAATATTAAACACAAACACATACACCCCTAAAATAACTCAGTAAACCCATGTTATTGTTTCCTTAAATATTGATTATATTACATTTACCCTGATTAGTTTTTTGTAATAAATCACTTATATTGTTATATGGAAATATCATTCTTGCTTCTAATGTAAAGATTAACAAAATTGTTTTACATTTTGAAATACCAGTACATTTAATGCCAAGTATTTTTAGGGAAAACTTCTTGATTTCCTTAACTTTTTTTTTTTAATGTTTTGCCTTAAGGCACTTATGCTCACCAGAGAGAGACAGAGACAGTGAGAAGGGAAAATGAGGATTCATTGTCCCATGGGGATGGCCATGACACAATCTCTCCTTTCAGGATTTTGGGCATGCACAGAAGTGGACCTGGTGCACGTTTCAAGACGCTGGGTCTAGGACTAAAACTGCCGTCAGCCATGTGGGAGTCCAGGACCTAAACCACCATACTACCTGCTGATCACAATTCCTCAACTATTTTAAGATAACTAAGCTGTTGTGTGACCAACAGATGGTGAAATGGTTATGTTGCTAGACTGTGGTTTGAGTCCTGGACCTGGTGTCTTAAACTCACTCCAGGGGTGTGTGTGTGTGTGTGTGTGTGTGTGTGTGTGTACCTAAGAAAGAACCTGAGAGGAAACGGAGGAGAAGGGATTACACCATGGCCAATTTCCCTGGGGTGGGGGTGGAGGGGTGATTTCTTGCTTTCTGTCTCTCTCTGTCTTTCCAGAGAGTGTACATACCCTATAGCAAAAGTCTCTCTTAAAAAAAAAAAAAAACAGAGAGAGAATTAAGCTGTTGCTGGCTACTCTCAGAAGCACTAATACAAGAACTAGGTTTTGAGTCTAGTCTTTAAGTACTGCAAAGAGCCACTGGATATTTAATTTTTCTTTTTTTTTTTCCTTTTTTAGTTTACTTGAAGCAGTTTAGTACAACTAATTTGTTTTTTAATGCACATTTAACATTAATAGAACTTGAAAGTATATTCCTTATCTTGAAGATCTTTATCAAATTAATAAGTTGGTCTTACAGCTCTTCCCTTGGTAAAATGATAAGTATCCGTAATTTGTCTAAATTAAATATTGCTTAAAGAAATAACTTTATTTGAGTAGAATCTAAAGGCGGCTATAGAACAATTCCTATTATAGTTATTATTTAATTAGGTCTTTAAGGCTTATGGAATGGTATATGTTTTTATAAATATTCTCTCTTCACGTAGTTTGCTTATGGTTTTTCCTAAGAATTATCATTTTTTGTTAGCAACATTATAATTGAATGTAGATTTAAAAAAAAGTCTGTTTTATCCTCAATGTTAAATTGAGCCCCCAATTTTGTTGTTGTTTTGCCATTTGAGTACATGAATCACCTATAGTGCATGAACGTGAACCCTCAGAGTAGTTCATTAGCAAAATTCCTGCTTCTGTGTTTACAGGAGCTGGTCAATTTATTACTACAAAATTGTAAAAGACCTCAACATCACTAAGTAGTGCAGTACAAAACCAATCCTGCTGACTACTATGTGTTTGGCTACTGATGCCAGGACAGGGAAGACTCTGGCAGCAGTGCTCACTGGAAACTGGGAACTGCTAATACCTCAGTGGGTACTTTTTACCCGAGAAAGATGAGTGATGGTCCACATTGTGTCTCAGTGAGGGGTCAAATACTCTGAGTCATTGCTGAAAACTTCCATAAGATTTCATCCATGTTAAAAATCTCTTAGTAGAAAGTATGCAAAAATTTAATTGGTAAAGAGCAAGAACTTTTGAGAAGTCATGGTGAGATTTTGATATTACCAAATGCTGTGAAACCTGTCATGGCTCAGCCATCTGTCTTTTTTGGGAAGTATACAAGAAGTCAAAGTTTTAAAAAGTACATAATTGACTCAACTGTGCTTTCGGCCCCAAATCGCAGCGCTGAAACCCAGTGAGCTGTCTTTGAGCATATGGAAGAATGTTTTTCCTAAGGTGATAGTAGCAAATGCCCTCAGATGAAAAATGACATCTAGGGCAATCTGCTGTAGTCTATGAATATGCAGATATGAATTTCCAACATTGAATCTCCACAGGGCTATTACTTTTACTGGATAGGTCCAAACCCTGTCTCCCTAGACATTAACATGAATCAGCAGTTGCAACATCTTCAAACTTGGATTATTCCAACCCCAAGACTCTCAGGTGCTCTACTTCAAACAAAAATCTCGAAAGGAAAATGGGGGCACATTAAAAACCTGTCTTACTGTCCTTATGTTAATAAAATATCTTCAGACGTAAGCAGTGGCCCAGAACCAGGTGTGACACCTCCCTTCCCCCTACCAAATAGCTCAAACGAATGACTGTTTCCTGAACATGGTGCATTTTATTATTTCAACCCACATTGCTGTTAGCAGGTATACAAAGCATATGGAGAAATGATTAATGTTATCCTGGGGATTGGTCTGGGGAACATCCCACAAAACAGAAGAAATAAAAAGATACCACAGTTTTCATTTCATCTTCTCCGTATCGTCACTCAGCCATTGTCAGTAATCTGCAGTCGACAGCTTGATCTTCCTAGGTAATGGGGAATTTAACAGTGTAAGATTTTCTTGAAAAGCTCCATTTAGCTGCCAGTTATACGTCCCAAGCATGTGCCTCTTAGGGGCAGATTGAAAACATTTTCTCTTTTGCTATGTTTTTCCCCGTGCACTGCCTTTCATCTGCTTTTGATTTCTAGCCTGTGGGTAAATTTCAATATTTTGATCATATTTCAACACACATTTTTCTGCTAAAGCATGACCTGCTCTGCAGAGAGAAACAGGCAGAGACTGAGAAATAGAATATTTAGGAGATAAACAATCTGGGAAAGCAGAAACTGCCCCTGACCAGTGCCCAGAATGACCGGTTTCAAAGTATGCTCTTTAAAGCAGTGTTTGTTTTAATAGGAGCCTGGCCTAGTTCTGGAAGTAATTGCATCCAAACTTTACTGATACGCTTTCTTTCTTTCCACATGGAACTCCAGAAGCGTGGATCCATTCTATCTGAGATTTGGAGGGAATTTTGGCTTCAGAAAATAATTCCTATTTTAGCCAAGCCCTAATCACTGCTTAATCTGTAGGGTTATAGTTGACATCTTCCCTAAAGGAAGGTTGATCTTTTCAAGCAGGACTTTATTCTTCAAATGCCTTGTGTTTTCACACTTTACCTTGTTAATAAAACCACACCAGGTATTGGGTATTTTGGAAAGAAAGTATGTTTAGCAAGTGGTGTTGATCTGATTCAGTGCTTTGTCAGGAGATCCAAGAACACCTTAGTTCTCTTGGCCCAGCACTCCTCTTCACAACAAAAATCTCAGCTGTAGAAATTTTACATATGTAGGCATCCTTTGGTATCCGTGGGATATTGATTCCAGGATGCTCACAGCTACTAACATCTTCAGATGCTCAAGTCAGTTCCATAAAATGTTGTAATATTGGCATGTAACCTACAGGGATCACCCTGTGTGCTTTAAATCACCTCTAGATTAATTATAATACCTAATGCAATGTGAAGAGTTGCTGTTCTATATTGCTTTCTCTTGTTGTTTCATTCCTTGTTATC